AATAATTACTGACATATCTATTTCTTAAACTTTTTCCGAAACATATTCACATCAATAAATCTTCCATTATTCCCATTACAACATTTATTTACCATATTTTAGCTCAACTGCATAGGAACTAAATTATCTCATCTAAATTATCCACTTTATAGTGGATATCCTTAACATTTTTAATAGCACCTTATTTTTTTAAACGAAATCTTTAATTTTTAATCTAGGGTACAACCCTTATCCACTCAATCATATACCATTTTTCAATCAAATTATTATATATATATATATATATATATATATATATATATATATATATATATATTTTCCAATGATATATTACTCAACTTTTCAAACTTGGACTTTTACTCACACGCAATATTATTTCTCTGATTAAAATCGAACATTATAACTTCCTTTATCTTATAAATTGTTCACGACTTACTCATTCTCAAACTTTTCTTTACTCTATATCTTCTCTGAACATTCAAATCCTTATCTCACATACACATACTTAAACTTATTTATCCCTTTAAAATAATTTTTCTTCAATTTTCATAACTTCTAACAGAGCTTTTAACCCAATTCACAAAGATTGTCTTTAACCCTGACTTATCATCAATTAACTCCTTATTAATATTCAAATATCAGACCCTACCGCTTTAGTCTGTCTGACTCTCATCTGATTTGATTCTGTGGCGGAGAATGTAACTAATTCATATCTGATTTGAAGTTGAAAGCTAGAATCTCTATCTTTCTTTAATGGTGCTTAACTCTATTAAACACTAATTCTCTTAATCATCTGAAATTTTTGTTCTCCAATCCTTTTATTCTTAGCTCTCTATATAATTTTAACGCAATTAATCATTTCTTGAATTGAGAACAATTTCAAAACCAGTAACACTCTTTTAATTTAAGGCGCAAGCCCTAAACAACCAATCACATGTTCTTCCTTATCCTTCCTAATCAAAATTAACACAACAATAAATCTGTTTAACTTATTAACTTATACTCATACACATGCATGTGTAAATGTTAATCTCATATATTCGATCTTCATTTGTTTTATGAACTGGTCGTTCATGTATTTATTCATAAATTCTTTTACAATTGATAACCACGTCACTTGATATTTTAACATCCTTATGGTGACATTTATTCACCATACTTCTAGCTTACCTACGTAGTAATAAAACTACTCAATTTAACTTCTCCACTTTGGAGAAATGAAAATTTTCTAATATATCTTCCTACCATTAATCAAATTTCCATAACAATGGAACATTTTCTCAAATTCACCCTTAAACTCGGGTGTTCTCAACTCTTTTCAATACATTAATTCTATGAATTATAGAAGTATAAAATTAAAACAAATTATAATATCATTCAACATCATGAATCACTCTCTAATCTTATACAGGCATTCCCTGAGGTTTTCGCTCTTCTCCCTGCCTGGCCAGGGCAGGTGAATGCAATTACCTTCAGGTCTATCACCTTGTATTTCACTTTAGAAACTCTTATGATCATATATCTAATATAACATAATATTTTAATTCTATTAGCAAGACAGTACACTTACTATTTCATCATATCAGAAGTTTTTACTATTTTGTTGGCATGTATACCTTATAAAACACTCTAGACTCCGGTTTATGCCGAGAATCGACTAAACCTTAGCTCTGATGCCATTAACTGTAACACCCCAACCCGTACCCAACCCGAATACGAGTCTGAGGTGTCATTGACTTTCAAACCTTGACACTTAAAGAAAAACCCGGGGAATTTAAAACTTGTTTAAAACAAAATACTTTAATTTACATAAAAGATACCACAAAATACAAACTTGATCAGAGTACTTATAATTAACGACCTATTACATGCCAACACTCTATACACAACAAAATACATACTTTGTCAACAAAATACATACTTTGTCGATTACTTCTGATCTGATCTTCTAGTAATAATACTATCATTGCTACTTTATTCTTGCTCTTCACGTTTCTTGATACCTACGTGTAAATCACTTACACGCTAAGTCATAGACTTAATGATGCAATAAATAAACATGTAACAGTAGATTCATGAATATGCATTCTTACTATTTGATCATGACATTTCAATATGCATGGATATATTTCCTATGACATATATAATCAAGTCATGCACACATGAAACTTACGTTTTTGCATCACTTTCACTTTAATTTATATTTTAATTGTTGTTGTTGTTGCCCATGTATATTATTGAGAATAGAGGTATGTGAGTACATTGAGGTTGTGCACCAATGCTGTCACCACAGCTCGTATAAATTCCCTCATGGGGCACCGAACATTTGTTCAGTATTCGTCCCGAAGGACTGCTATATATGTCCCGTAGGACCACTACATCCCGAAGGACTACGTTCCGAAGGACTACAATACCCTCGACTCTTGGCATGCTAACTATATCTATAGCTCTCGTATCATATACTATGGGCATTTATTGAATATATTTCTCATCACTTGTTCTTTCTCTTCTGTCACATACCACATGTATGTGTAACCATATATTTCATATCATATCACATATTGCATATTCATATGCCATTTCATATATTCACATAGCTTATTTCATTTCACATTGGTCATATCTCATAGCATATACATATGCATATAATCATGTATATCATATCATATCTTATGTTTCATGCTCTTATGTTTATGCATATCATGTATTCATGTACATATAAGAGTCACATATCAAATAACATTTTAGGAGTCACTTCTTACCATAGTAACTCCATCATTGGCTCATCGCAAGCCAATGTTCGTTCAATAATATAAGTTCAATTAAAATTGCACTCACCTTAGCCTTGCTTTGATTAGATTATAATCCTTTGATTATTCCGGAACTTGTTTAGGCTCAATATCTACATAAATATATCATTTTAAAACAACTATCAGAAGCCTAAACTTTAAACTTGATGTTAATAACTTAAATCGGTTTAATGAATCAAATTCCATTTTTTCATTTAGGGGGGAATCGATACCCCCCAGGGGGAATCTGTTCCCCGTGCACATACTGGAATTTTTGTCCAAGAGGGGGAATCGATTCCCTTCATAGGGTATCGATTCCCTCTACCCAGAAATTGTATTTTAACCCCGAAAATCATCAATTCTTCACTTAATTCTTCTATTTTAAACCCCTATCATGTCATTAAACTCAACTACCATTACTTAAACCAACTTATATCCATGAAAATCATCTATAACTTCAAAATCCTATCCTTCATATGTAATTCAAGAATCATACTCAAATTTTAATATGTTCTAAATACAATTCTAACACTTCTATCTTCTTATTCTCATAGATGACAAGTCAAATTCAACTTAAAATTCAAGTTATCAACTCTATTCCATGATTTCATATAAAAACTCGTTTTCTTAAATCTCTTATAACTTCTTCATCTTTTGATTATAAGACAACTTAAGCTTTCCTTAAGCTTAGTTATCATCTAATGATCAAAACCTAATCTTCAATTTAACAAATAACCAACAAATAGGAAAACTCACCTTATGCTCTACACGTGGGAAGAAGAAGGTAAGAAGAAGAAGAGTTTTCTAAACACTCTCCCCCAACGTTTTCTCTTCAAAGAGATAACAAAATATCTTTCATGTTAAATGACCATTTTGCCCCTTAATTCCTTTGATAATTACTAATTATTTTCAGGAAATATTTTCGAACAAATCATTACACTATTCAAATATCTTACTTTAATCAACACATTATGAAGTTTTACAATTTAGTCACTAACCCGTATTTTGGGATGTTACACAAACGCCACCTTAGGGTGTTGAGAAAACCAAGGAATTCACTTCGCTTACAATAAAAAAAAAACAAAAGCAAATGGCGATAGGTGAATTAGAGACAAATAAAACTCGGTTTCGCAAGCTTAATTGGTTTAAAAATGTCATGATGTGACTAACGAAAAAATTCAATGAAGAATCGTTGGTTCATCTTTTGTTATTTTAGCATGTTGGTTATTGGTGTTTGATTTAGTTTGGTCTCATGGTATGGTCCGACATTTACTATGTATGTTTAGGGATTAACTTTCTTTGACACTTGAATAGCTGTTTTCAGACCAGGTGCAGAGATGTAAGAACATGAATTTGGCGATTTCTAGGCAGTGAAGTGTGTGTTTATACATATAACGCAATGGATGCTCTGCTTGGTAACAACCTCTAGGTTTATCTTGAAAACCTTGTCCAACATTTTTTGTATGATTTGCTTCTATGTTGGAACTGATCTATCGAGGTAGTGTTTTTTACTCTTTTCTCCTTAGCTTGGACTGTGTCGGTTGTGTTTATTTGATTACGAATTTTTCAATCGAATGTCATAGATTCCTTAACTACCTTTGATGGTTCACAAGTATGGCCAATAATGCGCAACATGCGGAAAATGGTGCTGCATCTTCTCCGATAGAGGAGCTTTGCAAGGCAGTTTTTGAACTGGAAGCTTACACAGATGCTTCTGAGGATAAAGTTCAGTGGACAGAAATTGAACATTTTTGCAATCTCGATATAACATTAAAAAGGAAATATGAAGAACTAGAAGCTAAGGAGAAGGAGTTCAAGGAGAAAGAAACTAATGCATTGATTGTGGAGAAGGAGACAACTGTTGCTGCTAAGGAACTAGACTTCTTGGATCGAATTCAGGAGCTGAAAGATGCTGCTGTTTCTATCACTACAGAGTTCACATGCAAATTTCAAAGCAACACATGTGAATCCTCTCGATGTTTTGGTCGACTAAGACACCAAGGTAAGCAGCCCTAACAATGATAGAAACTCTCCTGATGAGGACTTTCCTCATAAAACAGGTGAAAATACTGAAAACATGGTTGTTAATGTTAAGCCACATCCAAAGCTGACTCAATTTTGTAGGCAAAAGGATACAAAAGGACTTCTTAATTTAGTAATGGAGAATCAGAAAAATCTATCTGGTAGTTGTCAAGAACTTTTCTTTGCACTAGAAAGTGCAAGTGAAGCAGCCCGTTTGGTGTTGGATTCATTGTAGGGGTTTTACCCTCCTGTTGAAACATATCAAACTATGGATGCTACCCTTCAGGGCATGCGCAAATCCTGTGTTGTCCTAATACATGCAATGGCTTCCTTTTTGGCCAGAATAGACCCTGGTGCTGATCACCTTCTGAACCCCAAAACCAAGCAACAAGCTAAGGCAATTGCTTAGGAGTGGAAACCCAAGTTGTCCAGTGTAGACAATGATGATGCCAATGGCAAATAATTGGAAGTGGAGGTTTTTTTACAGCTCCTTGCTACTTTTAAGATTGCTTCGAATTTTGATGAAGAACTCTGCAAGCTACTTATTTTAGTTGCTCACCGCCGACAGACACCTGAGCTCTGTCGTTCCATTTGGTTAATACACAAAATGCCAGGTTGGTGTTCTGACCTGATGGAGTTTGGACCCTTGCTTCCATAAGATGTGACTTGAGTCTTGACATTTGTTAACTTTTTGGTTTAAGCTCTAGATAATTTGAAATATACAGTACTCCACTGTTTGGTGTAGATTTGTTAAACCATGTCTATCTGTCACAGTTGTTCAGTTACTGATTAACAACGAGAGACAAATAGATGTACGAATTAAAACAACTGCAAACATGGGCTTGAAAACAAGTCCCTATTGTTTCATTTTGATTTCAGTTAAGGTTCTTTAAAGCTTTTAAAGTAGTTTTCATGTAATATTATCAAGTTTTCTTTCAATAGTTTGGATTTTTTTTTTATAATTTGAGAATGAAAACAAATCAAATATTTAATTGTTGCTTGAAAAGCAACGCAATTTATCTGTTTTTGTGAACTCGTATTCTTCCTTTTGATTCATTGGCGTTGGCAGTACAAAAAAATAAGTGCTATATAGTACATAAAAGGGTAAATTACACGAGCGACCATCAAACTATGGTCATAAACCATTTTGACCACCAACATTTGAAAACGATCAAACATACCACTCAACTATTTAAGTGATTCAATCAAACCAGTGGCATTTAATTTTAACGGAGGTGATGACGTGACAATTAATAAAATTGGCGTAATTATATATTTGATTCTTAATATTAACACATTCTATCAATTTAATCACTATTTTAATTTAATTAAATAAATTTAATCTTCCAATCCAGAGATGCTCAAAATATATTAAATTAAAATTAATTAAATTCAACCTCTAATCATATAATGACACGTGTCACCACTCATGTAAAGAGGAAACAAAATAATCCTACAAAGGAGCTTGAGGGGGGATTCGATCCAAGGACCTTAAAAGTCCCGAGGCACATTATGCCAAACTACCCATTTGGTTCAAAATTTCACAACACTTTATGTATTTTGTTCAAGGTTATTTCACACACACATATACATATTAAATTATTAAAAATATCTAATAAATAAATTAAATTTTACGTATATATTAAATTATAATTAATTTAATACTTAAAAATGAAATATTAAATTCATTTTTATTTTGTGATTTGAATTCTCTAAATAATTTTAATATATTTTTTATTTTTAAATTATTTTTTTATCGAATCCCCCCTCAAGCTCCTTTGCAGGTTTAATTTGTTTTCCCTTTACATAGGTGGTGACACGTGTCATTACCTGATTGGTGGGAAAATTGTTTAATTAAAATATTAAAATAAATTAATTCAGCCTACAATCATATAGTGACACATGACATCTCTGGATTGGAGAATTAAATTTATTTAATTGAATTAAAATAGTGATTGAATTGATAGAATATGTGAATATCAAGGACCAAATATATAATTACACCAATTTTATTATCTACCACATCATCAACTCCATTAAAAATTAATGGCCAACGGCTTGATTGATGGTCAAAATGATTTATGATCATAGTTCGGTGGTCACCCGTGTAATTTACCTTAAATAAAATTGTGATTTTATTAAAATAGGATGGAAGAATAAATAAGAAAATAATATTGAAGACAAAAAGGGAACGGGTAAATGAAAAAAAAAAAACATAAATCCTAAAGCCAAAATACAAAACGAATTGTCCAAAAGAAAAGGGAAAACTGGAGTCTCCGCCTCTCAATGTCAAACTTTGATTACAAAGCAAATGTTGGATGTGGTGAAATCTAGTCTAGAACACCAAAGCAATGGTTGCCCAACCCAATGCCAACTCTCCAATCTTCTTTATTGTCTCTGCTCCACTCTGCATTTTTTTTCCATTTCATTTTCCGCATAAAACAATTCAACGATTTAGAGAACTATTTAAGAAATTTGATTCTTTCCCATATAAAATAATAAAATTAAAAAAATTGAATATATTAATGCAGTGTAAGTGTAAGATCGAGTTTGTTAATGTATGCAGATTTAGATGGAGCTGGAACCGCCGCAGACTTATGCGGAGCCGCAGACTTATGCGGAGCCGCAGCCGTTGGAGCCGGTGATTTAGGCTTACTCACGGGAGCAGTAGCAAGAGTTGCCGGAGGAGCTTTAGCAGGCGCAGCTGCAGGAGGTTGAGCACCGACAGCGGTCACCACAATACAAATCAAAACAACTGCGCGGATCTAAAATTTTAACGCTCGCACTATAAAAAAGTTGGGTATGTAATTTTTTCTATTTTCATTAATAAATTAAATTAAATATTTTTTTAAAATAATAAGTGTACAATGATTTCTTAGGGAGCCACATACATTAACTCTTATTTAAAACTAAAGGCCGTAGATCAACAGCTTTATCTGAAACCGAACGTCCAATGCTAACATCAAAAGGCCTTGATTGAATACCCATGCGCACTCTGAACGGTCGCCCACTTTGCGTCCCCTCATCCATGCCCCTGATTGCAAAGGCGCTTCTACGATCCATTGTTTGAGACAGCGGGCGAGTGAAGTGGTGACAGAAACTGTTAAGGTAGTAATAGAGAGATGAGAAAATAAAATAACCGTTCGATGGAAAACCTCTTATGAGCATCAAAACTATAAAACAAAGAGACAGTGTAACGTGTCGATCCAGAGTCGACACAGTCTGGACTCGGAGCCCACAGAAAAAAGAGCCATGTAATTTTCTAATTTAACTTGAACTTATCTAATTAGTTTTTGTAGACTGGTAAGACAGGTCTCGAGGAAGAGGGTGAGTAGCCGGTGGGGTATTTTTTCCCAATCTCATAAACCAATAGTACGTGGCCACGTCAGTGGGCAAAGCTTTGATGATGAGGAGATCGGGCTGATGTTTTTCGAGGGGTCACCGGGAAGAAGTGAGGACCGTTTAGGAATGCAACTAAAATTTATTTTTGGATTAAAAGTAACTTTTGAGTAATAAATAATGTTAGAATATATATATATATATATATATATATTTAAAATTTGTGTGAAAAATAAATTTCAATCTAACTATAAAAATTACAAATTTCAGTTTACAACATATATATATATATATGAAAGGAATATGAATTTATATTAATTAGAAGTCGAGTGTTGAAGTATATTAATGAAAATAGATTCCATAAACTCATAAATAAAGAAAAATGAGATCGATGTGGACGACGACCATTTAGGTAAAGCATGAGCGATAGTATTGGTTGAGCGTCGAATGTAGATCAATAGCGACTTAGCGAGTCTGATGCCAGCCGTGATTGCATTCGCCTCCACAATGGCAGGGTCACCATGATCAGGCACAACATGTGCGTGACCAGCAAGAACGAACCTCGTGCGATTGTACCAATAATATTAAAATAATTAAATCTTAAATTTAGCTTTTTTAATATAATTTTGAAAAGTAATGTTCAACTGTTCATAAGTTTACATGTGAAAGTTGTCAACGTGACGTGTATTATCCTTTAAAATTTTAAACTGGTTACAAGTTCATATGTTATAAACTTTATATACAGCAAAATTATGAATAGTCATGATGTTTGTGGATTTGTTTCTTTAAATTTTCTAAAACAGCATGAATAATTGCAGAAAATTTTGGCATTTACATATTCTTTAGCTACAATGTTCAAAGCAAATTGACCATATAAAAATTCCAAGAAGATCAAGTTCTCCATTCCCAGAATTCAACCAAGCTAACTACTTCATTAGATCTTCCCATTTGCAGTACTGCCCACCCGCCAATGCACGATAGAATCTGTCCCTGCAGTACACTGGTCTTCCATCAGCAGCCTCTGCCGCAGCCGCTGCTAGATCATCATCATCCTTAACTTCTATCGGCAGGCTAAGCAATTCTTCTTTCCTACAATACATTTACATGGAAAGTGGTGTTGTAACATACCACGACAGTTTTAGAACTTGAGTTTATGTTGAATCTTCATGTGTGACATCCATATATATACCTTAGATTGAACTTTGTGTTGGTTTTCGAAGCAAGAACACTTGATGATGCACCCTTTGTGACAAATGCTGTTTTAAAGAAATCCTCCACCGGTGTAGCGAAGATAAATAGAAACACTGATGTAACGAGTAAGGCCCCTGTTCCGACTAGTGTCTGTTTCAACAACTTGACAACTGGTTTAACCTGGAGGCCATCATGCATTTTCTCATGTCAAACTTCCATGGCCTTGTTTTCATTCATAAAAATATGAATATGATATATATAGTACCTTATAAGATCCCAGCAATCTGTCACGAGCCAGAACCTGGAAAGGGAAAAGGGATTAAAGATAACAATATAGTGGATAAAAATTGATCCGCAGAAGCTTTTGACCGTGTAATCATAAAGAGTATGGTGAAAGAATTTTCTTTCTTTAGATTTTAGAAACTAAGAGCCGCCCTTGACTTGTGTACTAACCTCGGGTGGTTTTACCCACATTTGACCATCATACCAGCCAGTCTCTTCATACGGTATTACCGCTGATAGAAGCCTATCACCAACATAACTCCATCCCTGCAACATGCTGAATACATCATTCATGTTTTCAACGTCACCGAAACTGATACTCGGAGGAGCTTTGTGGTTATGTGAGTTAAGTCGATTGTTTCGTTGTGTCATTTCCAAAAAGTTTTGAGGTGCTAAGATCGCTTGATGAAACCATCCGTATTAGATTTAGTTAAATTGAATCATGCTTTTGTTTGTTTCAGCTAATTGACATATTTAATGTTTTTTACATATGCATTGGCACACACAACAATTCCCTAGAATGATGAACAAATGGCCATGGCTGAATCATTCTTAAGCACAACAGCAACAGTAAAGGTTAAAACTTGAAGAAGGCGATCGTACCAGATAAATTCTTAATACAATCAGTGACACGAGGAAGAGAGTTCCTGTTCCAGCAGCAAGCACAAATCTTAAAGGTTCCTGCACGGTGTGAACCAGAAAGTTATTTTCTGAATTTTAGCCCAAGGGTCCGAATAACATAAACAGTGATGTTTTTGGACTTACCCTTGAAGGATTGAAGCTTGAAGCTGCTATTGGGGCTCCAAGAACCGTGAAAGTTACTAGCCACAGCCCTCCCAGACGAAGGAAAAATTGGCCTGGTCCCAGCTCGCCCCATGAATACAGAGGACCGTCTTTCAGAGATGAGTACTCATTCACCTATTTTGAGCAAACAGATGATTGCATGTTCATATAAGAAAAGCAATTTTGAGGAGTATATTAAGATTGTGAACATACCGGCCTTTGCTCAAAAGGGACCTCGATCTCCAAGCCAGGTTCCCAGCTCCGGCCTTGAAAGCCACCGCTCATACCACCGTCCATCTCATCTTTTAAGGCCCTGACTGGAACCCCACGAGGCAGCTTCGGCCCTCCGTTGAACTTAGCTAAGCCAGGACCATAACGACTCCCAAGCTTAATATGCGCCGGAGTAGGAATATTTAGAGAACAATGAACATTTAATCTAAGCATCTATCTATCTTTCTCAACTGAGTTCGATCCAGGGAGCCAAGAGAAGGGCTCGCTACAATAGATAATTGAGTTCATTTAGACAACGTTTAGTTCTACATAATTTGCGTGGAGCAGATACAACGAGAGAATTACTTTGTTTTTTGTGTGTTGTTTCTTTGATGGATTCTTAACAATGGGGCCTATCCGAGAGTTACGTGGATGAAATCGATAAATCGCTATTAAAAGTTGCAATATTTTTTGTGGTTGGGAGACGTGAGGGTTGGGAAGGGTTGCTTCATGCAACAAAACTGTGGCAGAAATGGACTTGCACGCTGTGCTTTTGTGTATAGCTCGTGCTTCCACGAGCCAGAGCGTATGAAAATTGTGAGGGATATAGATCGAGAGGATTATCCTCATGCATGGGCCCTTTCAAGAAAGAATGTTAAGTTTGGGTTGGGTTTTGCTCGAGCTTTAGCTTCGGCTCAGTTTCATTTTCAGTTTAATTCTGGCATCAGCTCATTCAGATCCAAATAGAATTTTTTTGAGTAGCTCAATGGTAATAGAGACAATAACTACATCTTTTATACGTTATCGGTAGCTAAGAAAAATTATAAACATATACTACATTAAAATTACTCCAGAATTAAAAAAAGGAAAATCCGGATAACATAACAGACGGTAAAACAAAGTACAAGATATGATTCTCTCAATGAATCTTTCAAGCCTGAGGCTTTTGCAACTCTACTAATATAAATTCCTATAAAAAAAAATATTAACCTTAACAATCAGAGGCCAACTGATGCATTAAGTCACCGCTGCTGCTGCATCCTCTTATACTTCGAAGCTGAACGTACAGAGCAGAACAAAATTTGTTTGTAAAACACGTTCACTTTTATTGAATGATACTTGCAATGGTATTCAACAGCCATTGATACCAGCTGAGTTCTCTTTGCTTGTATTTCTCATGTCGATATCTTGGGAGGTTATTTCCCTAACTTAGTTAATCCTTGCAACTTGAAAATATGTCCTTCCTTTTCAGCCTTTTCACATACCATTCCAGTAGTAATTTGAAGGTCAATGGTAACTTCTGTTTCAGCCTTCAGTTTAATCAGCGACTAATGACAGACCCAGGGAAAACCATAAACGCTGTCAAAATGGGATATGAAACAATCATAATTTGTGCCTGTTTTGATAAGGCTGCTTTCCACACCGTGTCAAAACATACATGCAACCAGCCGCCACGAATAATCCAACAGCAGCAAAAGCTATCATTGTTGAGTTCTCAATGGTCCGATTATATCCTCTCTGCAACATGAAGAACCTAGCCAGTAAGCTCATCAGAAAAAGGAAATGTAGTATCATATATCATACTCCAAATTTTGCCACAAGATTTATTGAGGGGGTCCCCAAGCTTGTTTTCCTATCCTCAAGTCATCCAAACTAGGGGCAAGCATAGCCGCATAGGCCTCACGTGTAATAAAAAATTAAAGATTCATTTTACTCTTAAATATATTTAAATTGATAAAGTTATTTTCATTTTTTTAATCATATTAATTTATTTCTTTAGTCGATGTTGATTGTTATATTGTTGTTATAACAATTAACGGTATTGATATAGTTACATGATGATATACTATTATAATGTAATAGTTGACGTGTAAATGATAAATAATAAAGAAATGAGATTAATTTTTTAATCAACTTTAAAAATAAAAATTTATGAATACAATTAATTTTTCATATGTATACAATTAATTTTTCATATGTATACAATTAATTTTTCATTTTTCATATGTATACAATTAATTTTTCATATGTATATTATATTCCACTGAAAACTAATAATCGAGTTTCGAATCCTCTCTCCTCTTAACCAAATTAGGGTTCATTCACGCCGAATCGATAAGATATGGGAGGAGGCAATGCCCAAAAGTCGAAGATGGCGCGTGAAAAAAACCTCGAGAAGGCTAAAGCCGCCGCAAAAGGTTTCAATTATCTTTTCCTTATCGCAAACTAGAAAGAATTTTAAAAATTAGGGTTTTTTTTTTACTTTAACATGAATTAGATCCTTCTACTGATTATGTATTTTTTTCTCAGGGAGCCAACTAGAATCAAACAAGAAAGCAATGTCGATTCAGGTGATTTTGGGGTTTAAATCCTTTTTAACCATGATTAGTTTCCTTCTAACTTTTGTTTTAATTTTTTTTGTATTGTTTTATTGCCGTTTTCTTAATTCTTTTGTGGGTCTAATTTTCCCCCGAAAAAAATATATTTTGCTCTTTCTCTAGACAGAGGAAAAGGTTTAGATCAAAGTATGTGCTATTGTTTTAAAATTTTGTTTGGCTGATCAGTTTTAACAAAGGCTTTGCCTTTCAATAAAGATAAAAATGCATTAGAATTCAAAATTTTATAATGTAAAGGTTATGTTTCAGGATCACTTCGCACATTTGTAGCCTATTCATTGGATTAAAAAATTTCCCATCCTTAACCCTTAAAACTAAACATTCACTTTCTGAAAGTGGCTCTTTTCATGTAATAATTACTTAATTAGTCTTCATGATGTATTCCTTTTGACCAAATATTAGTCTTTATGTTGTTGAATGGTCTGTCATGCTTGTGTTTACAATGACAATTTGTCTCTGGGCCAGTGACAAATATTAAACGCGGTTCTTAGTTGAAGTGCTTTAGGTTTTTTTTTTCTTTCATGTACATCTTTAGCCTATGGACCCCTTACATTCGATTCTTTTCTTTTCTTTTCTTTTGAGTACCGTTTTTGTTGGGGGTTGGAGTATGGTGTCTTGTTTCGCCCTCTCAATTTCTTTCCTATCAGGCCATGGATGGTATGTTGAGTCTGATATAGAAGTTCTCTATCAGTCCATCAGTGGGTTGAGATGTTTCTGTTTTATTTATGAAATATTTTCAAGTGCGAGAACTAGTGATGTGATGACTGTAATGCGTGCCACTTCCAATCACATTATATTTACGAGGAGTCTCGTATCATTGTATTGTTAGCGATGATGAGGATCATTTTTTGGGCAATGCTCTAGGCATGTTTGAGATGATATTCATTAGTCCCTTTTATTTGCCGATTTTTAAACCTTTAGAAGATGAGGTTATAGTGAGAGGAAAGCATTAATTTTTAACATTGAGACCCGTATAATTACTTTCAAATCCATCCATTTGACATACAGATGTAGTGGAAGGAATTACTCTGGTTTAGCATTTGAGCTTCTTTTTTGTTTGCTGTACTAATAACCGGTGATTGATTGTAATGATTTATTCGTGCAAAATGCAGTGCAAGGTATGCATGCAGACATTTATTTGCACAACGTCTGAGGTGAAGTGCCGAGAGCATGCGGAAGCAAAGCATCCAAAATCCGACGTCTATGCATGTTTCCCTCATCTGAAGAAGTGACGAAGCTGGATCAAATATAATGTGCCTACTTTTATGTAGACTTTTAATTTGGATATTAGTCATGTAAAAGCCTCCATGGTTTATAGATGCTAAGGACGATTAGTTCATTCCTGCATCAATGTTAAAGTGAAGCATTGATGTTATTGTAGCATTGTTTCAGAACACTTGCTGTCGTTCTTTTCTCCCTTAAAATTCTTTCCACTTGCATGTCATTTATTCATACTACCAATCTACCATTATCTAGAGCATTAACCACAAATAAGTAATCTCTACATTGGGGAATCCGATAACCTTTAGTTTGAGTTATTAAGCCATTTCTACTCTGGAGAATCCAGTAACCTTTGTGTTCTGTGTTGTGTGACCGTTGGTTTTTGTCATCGAGGGGAGGTTCTATTATGAATCTTTTTTGGGGGTACTTTTTTCCTCGGAGCTGTGGGTTTTTTGCTCTTGGAAAACTCTTTTAGGAGTCTTTGCGGGTTGTTTCTGGGAATATCTTGCGATGGGTCGACAGCAACAGCGAAGACGCGAAAATTATTATGTTTTGATGGTTTTTGGTAGAGTTGACGTGGGAAGGGAGAGAGAGTGATGAAGAAAATGAGATATCAGAGGGTTTTTTGAGGAAGGGTGTAAAAGAAGAAGAGAGCTCCGTTGAATTATAAGATTCAAGCATATTTTTTAAGCGTTTGATAAATGGGAAATGAAGATGTTGGGCTAGGTTGACATGGAAGAAGAGTTTGATTTCAGGGGTTTTAGAGAGGGCTTGGTAAAGATGGCAACGGGTCGGGTTAGGGTTAGGTTTTTGGTCAATTTGACCCGACGTGACCCGAAAATATGCACCCGAACCCGACCGACCCGAAAATTTTATATCATCCATCTGACCTGAAAATATTTACCCTCCACCCGACTACAATCCGACCCGAATTTTTAGAGTATAAATTCGACCCAACTCGAACCAATATAAAATAAGGATTTAATTAAATAATAATAAAGATTTTAACGAAATTCTATTATTATTATCGGGTCGGGTCAGAGTTTTTTCACCCGAACCTGACCCAAATTCAATTTTTTAAAAAGAAATTGGACCCCTATCGGTTGGGTCGAGTCGAATTCGAGTTAAAGTTACATATTTAGGGTTTGGACAATGTGAAGAAACCTGGCTAATTTTGCAGTACACTATCACCAGCGAATGAGATATTTTGTTTTTGTTGTTGCTCTCTAATTTTCTTTTCTCCCATCTCTCTTAACATTACAACGTCGTTTCTTAATGGGTAAAGTACACAAATGGTCCACGACTATAGTTGAGTTCTTTAATTATTAGAAGTTATAAAATGATCCTCTGATTATTGGTTATTGCTTTGTTGAGTCCCCTAACTGTTAAAAGTAACAAAATGGTCACCCAACTATTCATATATGTCGAACTTGTCCTTTTTTGTTAAAAAATTTGACAACCCTCTGTGATTAACTTAAACAGTTCTGGATCAGATTTTATCTTATCTCAGTCAGCAGATTAATATCCAACTCAGACGATCACCAATTTCTAACAGAAAATGATGAGTTTGGAATATAAGAATAGTCAGGTGATTGCTTTGTAACTTTTAATAGTCGAAGAACTCAACAAAGCATCATCGTATAATCGGGTGACTATTTTATAATTTTTAATAGTTAAGGGACTTAATAAAATAATACCTTATAGTCGGGGACCATTTGTGTACTTTACCCTTTATTAAATGGGTAATTTTGCATTTTGGACTGTGGTTCTCCAAAGCTCCATACCAATATTATTATTTTTTATTTTGGTCTATTCAAGTAGATTATAATTGAAGACTCTTAAATTTGTACAACAAAATAACAATGTAAACATCTAAATTAATTGAATAATGGCTTCTTTAATAATATTTTTTGGCTTAAAGAATATCAAGATTTCTTAGGTTTTTTAGAAAAATGTCTCCAACCGTAGAGCCAACCTTGACAAAAACAGCAGGGTAGCCTATGGGAGCTCCAACAAAAGCTTCAGAGCCTTGTTTATGGTATTGTTGTCCTGTCCAGATATGCTGCCAAATACAAGTTTCTCCAATTGGGAAGTAAGCTTTGACATTCTTCTTTCCCTTGTCAAGGACAGGAACCACTAGGATTTCACTCCCCACCATGAATTGTTGGTAACTCAACCTTTGAACCCGTTCATCGCCCGGGTAGTGAAGAAATAGGTGTCGGCAGATCGGCAACCCCTTCTCGGCTCCTTCCTATTTTGTGCAAGCCAATACAATTATGTATGTATGCGTGTATGTATGTTGCTTGAATTACACAAGTGTTGTATTTGTAGCATTACCTTCACCAGTTGGATCCTGTAAAACTTCCAGGCTTTGTACACTTTAGCCATGCGTGCAAAATGTGATAGGGTTTTATCATTGGAGTAAAATTGACTGTTACATGAAGGTTTGTTTCCCTACCAGAAGAAAGATGATATCACATTATGTTATATAACTGAATGTAGCAATCTTTACCCACAAGTTAAAGGCTAAGCTTGTGTTACAAGAAATAATTAGAAGTTCAGCTATGAATCCTTTTAGTGATCATGGATGTTTAAGGAGTGAGCTCTGTTTTCAACATACCTCATGAGTTCGAAAAACTACGGTGAATGCGTTCAGCTCCATCCATCTCAGAAGCAACTCTTCGCTTCGACGGTACTTGATGATCGGTAAATTTATGGTACAGTAGCCTCCGATATCACTGTGGTTAAAAGCAAAGCCAGAAAGTCCACTACTCAAAAGGCCGACAACACAGCTCTTTATCCCATCATTGGCTTGCCAGCTTACCATCTGGTCACCTTCCCAAAACAGCATCCCCCACTTTGGACTATCTCTGAAACCAGCCCTCATGAAGAACACTAAACTCTCTTCTTGTTCCGGGTCTTCTCCCTCCTTTACAGCGTGTCGGTTCTTCCATTCGTTGACAAATTCACGATTTATTCGAGCCCATAGTTCGGGGTATTTATTGTGGGCAGAAATAGGATCTTCACCTGAATAGAGTACAGCATCCAATGGCAAGCCTTCACCAAAATCAGCCATCCATCCTCTGACTCCTTCGTCCACCATTTCTTGCAAAATATGCTTGAACCAAATTGCAGTAAGTGGATGTGTCAAGTCCAACATTCCCACTTCAAAGGCCGTGTTCGGAACCATGTACGGTTCTCCGTGCTTATCTTTCACCAAAATCCCCAGCTCTTTTGCTTCCTCAAAGAGATTCCTCCTTTTGCTCGGCTTCTCATCCATCTGTAAAACAATCTCAAATAAGCAAGAAAATCTATGTTGCTCCGACTCTTCATTCTTTTAAGCACCCGTTTCGGACGCATATACATACCAGTGCTAAACAAGGATTGCAATATGCCATCATTTTGATGTTGTGTGTGTTAAGATCTTTAACTAGCTGTTGCCATCCTGGGTACCTTGTTGTGTCAACTTCCCAGTTCCACCATAATTGTGATCCAATCAATGTCTCTCTTTGCCCCACCCAGTCCTATAGAACAACAAGTTGAAATGAAAAAAATAAAAACAATCCTATAAAACTTGTTAATTTTAGCCAAAGGCAAATTCAACAACATTTTACCTGCAACCAAAATGATGAAATGGGAACCTTATAGGTCATGAGTTTATCCCAAATAGAGCGTACAGTTTGGGTTCCGCCTTGCATGCCAACCACTGCTCCGGATATCATCCATTCAGGCAGCTCAGGTGGTCTCCCAATAGCTTCTGTGAAATGTTCAATGATCTCCAATGGTGAGCTCCCATGTATTATCCTCCCTTCCACTGTATTTCCGTGTACCTGCAAACCTCCATCATAAAGAAAACTGCATCAAGGAATTCAATTTACTCCAAATAATTTTTTAAACCCTTTTTTTTTCATTTCTGTAACTCATCAATAGTATTTATTAGTTCCAAACTATATTATTTTTAAAAAATATCAAATTAAATAATTTATTTATATTTATATTCAGACCAATGTCATAAAAAACAGCACATTACACATGCACAAACTACTACGTCTACACACATATAATAAGTAGCATAAAAAACCATTACTATCTTATAATTTGTTTTAAATTAATATTGATAACTTGCATTGAAAAATACCTGCAGTTGGACCTTATCATGTTGTGTGAGATCAAATACAGAATAGTTGTAGCCTTCCAAGTAAAGAGACCTCATCTCAGATGTCATATAAAATGGTGAAGGAGCATAAGTAGTACTCCAATCTCCACCAGCTCTGCAACATATATAAATATAGATATATATATATTAATACGATATCAACAATTTTTGGTTTTCAAAATCATTGCAAACCGAAACATGATCGCCTGTACTTACCGGTAGCTAACCAAGTTTGCTGCAAAAGTGATGGGTTGGTCTCCTCTTCCAATGCCTTGTTCTTGAACCAAAATGGGCACCCTTTTACCCTTGAAATCCATGTGGGAAAACTGCTCTCCGAAACCGAAAAATCTTTCATTTGCTTCACTTGCATAGCAGAAAATAACCCTGTTGAATTCCGCTACTCTACCTTCACCAACAATCGGCTCTCTTTGTTCCTCCTCCGATGGAGTAGCTCTCGCCGACCCTTTTCTCCTCATAAAGAACCACAACAATCCCAGTTTCCGATACATCCTCAAACGCCGGTACTTTCCCGAAACATTCCGATGTTGATAATGCTCAAATTTTGGTTGTCCGATTTTGACTTGGAACCCAATTTGGTTACTATTCTTTTGATCAAACAAGACGCAGTATCTTGTTGAACATTGAGGCCTCTTCTTTTTCCCGTTGCTAAAAATATGGCCTCTTATGACTAAAACAGGGGACTGTTCAAATTCTGGATTTTTTGTGTTCATGTGATCAAACTCCATATAATCAGATAGAAAATCATCGTCAGATGAACTGATCAAAGCTATATCTTCAATAGTTTGTCGATCACAGTGAAAGTGAACGTCTCTGTCTTTGACGATAAAAGATCCCCTGCTTTCTTCCACTTCTGTGTCGGCCATGGCGGCCGATATAAATGCCTGTCCGGGGATCGTGGACCATATTGATTTTGAGGGTAGAGATTTGTGAGAAATTGAGACATACCCACCATTTGAGGTGCTCCAAAGCATCTGGAAATCCTTCCCGAATGAGAAGATTTTGAGGGGAGGCAGTGTAGGGGAATGAATGATGAGATTGCCATGCATGAAAGGGAGAGATCTTGGGGTGGAAGGGAAGGGGTTGTTGAAATGTTTTTGGTGCTTTTTGGTGATTTTCAGGGTTGACATGTTTGGAGATTGTGCATGGAATCAATGGAATCTCATTTTTATTTGAAGAACTAGCTTTAGAATATGCATGTGTGACTTTAGGTAAAATTACTCCATGCGGTAAATTGCATTTATATTTTGGTATTCGAAGTATCTTATTAAAAAAAATTAATTAACGATGTACACACATCATATAAATGTAATTACTCAAATCGAGATATTTTATAGGATTGCAACTCTCATTTTACCATTGCGATTAGTCAATGAATTTTTTTTATATATCTGTATTTTCAAAATAGAAAACAAAAATTATAATTATGAACCAAAGGAGTATTGTTGTAAATTATTTTATTTTTTATATACATTTAAGAGGCGTAGAAATATACATAATTTAAAGATGAAATATCAAATTTGAATCTTCAGATATGAGAAGAGATGAGAATTCTAATTGGCCGGGCCGCCGGGGTCATGAATTTGGACGTAGTTGCGGTTCAAAATTCATCAAACAACGATTTGTGTCATGAATTTGGATGTATTTTGCACTCAACATTCTTTGAAACGAGGGAGCTTTTGTGATGAATTTAGGCACATTTGCGGCACGATTCATCAAAAACCAGTATTTTGGATTTTGCTGCTACTTTATTCAATATGGGTAAGGCACAGTAAGGTAGTTAGCCGAAATTGCATACAATTCAACAAAGTTTTGTTTGGACTTTTATGCTCCATGAAATAAGATTACCCTACTAATAAGGGACACTTTGGGGGGGACCTCTTCGTATCCCATTGCTCACATAATTGGACCCTAAGTTCCTAACAACTTGCCTGCCCCAAAAGTTGTAAAATATAACCTTAGCCCATGTAGGGATGGCCATTTTAAACTAATCCGACGGGTTTTTATTCAATTTGGTCGGATCGGTTATTCATTTTAAAAATTTAGGTTTGGGTCAAACTTTGTTAGGTTGTGGTTGTGTCAAGTCAATTTCAGGTTTAAGGTGAAAAAATTTGATTCGAAACGATATAATATTATAATTATATTTTATATATTTAGGGATAATTATAATAATATTCATTTCTATTTTTTGAATTAGGTTGTTGTTTTACCTAATAAAAATAAATTTATATATATATATATAGGTTGAGTAGGGTCCAGGTGCGCCAAATATTTGAACTGATCTGGCCCATTAACATCCCTAAGTTCAAACCTATAAAATGAGAACGAACAATTGGGCAACCACCAGGCCCATCCCTGAGCATAGGCAAAAGGGGCGCTCGCCCAAGCCCTTCTCTTGTTTGGGGCCCAAAATTGTAAATTCACATATAATTAAAAGATGATACATTATTTATTTAGTCACTCATCTATTATTTTATTTCTATTTTGGTCATCCAATTTTTTTTTCAAAATTATACTTAATGTTACATTTTCTTTTCTTTTTTTTACTATCTACCATTAAAAAAAATTAACGGCGAAGTTGATGAAATTTTTTGAAATTATTTTTTTACTTTCCACTTAATTATTCTTTTGTTATTTTTTTGACAAGATGAAGAAGATTACAACCTAACATGTACCCTTTTAACAGAGGACCATACTTGTTTTGTGTGAGTAGTTGGGTGTTTAATAATTTTTTTGATGTTTTCTATTTAAAATTTAATGTATTCATTAAATAGTTTATTAAATGTAATATAAAAACAATTTACAAGTAAATTTATTTAGTTTTGTTTGCTATTACAATTCAATTTTTCTATATTTGTTATTAGAATCCTAATTTATATTTTCTAGGCCACTAAAATTTCAGAAACCGTACTAGCGCCACCAGGCACCAACTTGGACGTAAAGAAACCGGCGGAGCCATGGTCAACTCGCCCATCCAAACAAATATTACATACATGAAACTGGTCAACTTATCTTAAATTGACAATAACAAGGAACTTGAACCACAAAGTTTCATGCCAAGTGTAGGTTTCAAGCTAAACCAATACAACAAACAATTATCGTGAGCCGAATCCAACTTTTTCGCCAAATTAACATTTATAACGTTAATCTCAAGCAGCCGAAACTACCAATCCTAGCTAGCTCTGCAAGAAAATCAAATGGCGGCCATGATCCATCCAGTTCCTCCCTAAATTTCTACTCGCTGGTAACTTGTATTAGGGGATAACCCTTGGCCTTTTTCTAATAAAACCCGTACATGATTGCTTCAAAATCGGTGTATGTCACAGTTCACACTTTCATGGAAAAAAAACGACCCCTGATCATATGTATAAAAGAACAATATCCACCAAAATCTATGCAACAAAACCAGTGATCTTAGCATAGTTCATATCTTCATTCAATTCTTCACCTTGGTTATATCTTCAATGGCTCCTGCTTATTCTAGCTACGTTTGCATATTTGTATCCACTTTATTCACGTTCATGTTGGCAAGTTCTCATGCAAATGCTGCAGCGGTAAATTCAGCTGCCATTCTCGTAACGGTGGACCAACCGGAACGGAGACTAGGAGAAGATACAAGACGCATCAATGCAGTGCCATCCGATAACAAAGAACTCGTTTTTATAAGGGTTAAGCCTGGCATCTGTAAAGAAAAGATTATTGTGGCTGCAGACAAGCCCTTCATTGCCATAAGTGGCTCCAAGGCAGGTGGCACTATAATAACTTGGAATGACAGTGGGGAGATATTTGAATCACCCACCTTCACTGTGTTGGCTTCAGATTTTGTCGGTTGATACCTCACGATCCAGGTATCTCATACCATAAAGATGATATTATATTTTTCAATAGTTTGATAAAGATTCGAACTTAAAATATTTTTATTATCTTTTTCATAAATATAATACATTTGGACCCGGAGCTAAAGCAGTTGCGTTAAGGGTATCTGGAGATAGGGCAGCTTTCTTCGGATACATTACTAGATGATACTGGAAGACATTATTACAAAAGTTGTTATATTGAAGGAGCTGTTGACTTCATTTTCGGGAATGTCGCTTCTCTTTTTGAGGTAATTAATTATAAGAACACTGATATATGTTGCAGAAGACGGCTATCAGATAGAACAAAATCACAACTGATAATTTGAGAAAATAAAAATAAAGATAAAATAGACACAAAATTTACGTGGAAAATCCCTAAATAATATAGGGTAAAAACCACGAGCAACGGTAGAAGAATTTCACTATGAGAAAATAGGAATTACAACCTCTTTCGATCTACCAAGGAGAAAACAATGATAATTCTCTCTTGATAAAAAAGGAGAAAACAACTCTCAAGAAACCCTCTAAATTCTATATTAGAAGAAAGCTAGAATGTTTTGGGATGGTTTTGAAGCTAAATGAGCTAGGGTATTTATAGTTGAAGCTTTAAGGACTAATTTGTAAATACCCTAAATTATAATGACTAAATGTGAATTATCTCATGTCAAATAATTCAATAATTTACAGCTGATTTTGTCTGCCCCATTCGGTGCATTTATTGCACCGAAAAATCTGATTTTTTAAGCCTCCAAAACTGACTTTTGACAATATCCCACTTGAAGATTTGATTGGAACAATCATATCTTCACACCATTCTTTCTACCTTGTACCTTCATGTTGCTTACGTCTCTGACAGGCCACAGGAGGATCGACACCGAGTAAATTTATCAGTGTTGATCGCTTTCGTCATGAAATCTGCTATGTTTTCTTTGGTATGAATCTTCTACATATCTACCGTCCCTTCTTCCACCTTTTCACGAATGAAATGGTACTGAACTCGTATGTACTTTGTCCTTGAATGAAATGCTGGATTCTTTGCTAGATGCAAGGCGCTTTGACTGTCACAAAACAGAGAGACATACTCTTGGTTGTGCCCAAGCTCCTCCAATAACATCTTCAACCAAATTGCTTCTTTACTGGCTTGTGTAGCTGCTACATATTCTGCTTCTGTTGTGGATGTAGCCACAACTGACTGTAACTTAGAAACCCAGCTTACAGCTCCATCAGCAGTTTTGAACACATATCCTATTGTAGATTTGCTTTTATCCAAATCCCCTGCATAGTCAGAATCAACATACCCATTGATAAGTAAATTTGATCCTCCGTAACATAATGCAATATTTGAGGTCCCTTTGATGTATCTCAAAACCCTCTTTACTATATTTCAATGCTCTTTGCCTGGATTCGCCATGTACCGACTAACCACTCCCACTGCTTGTGCAATGTCTGGTCTTGTGCATATCATAGCGAACATTAAACTTCCCACTGCTTATGCATACGGTACTCGAGACATATACATCATTTCTTCTTCACTGCTAGGACTCATACTAGAGGATAATTTAAAGTTAATAGGAAGAGGGGTAGAAATTGGCTTACAATCTTGCATAGTGAATCGTGACAAGATCTTCTTCAAGTAATTCTTTTGTGAAAGCCAAATCTTCCTATTACTTCTGTCTCGATGAATTTGCATCCCTAGAATCTTGTTTGCCGATCTCAAGTCCTTCATTTCAAATTCCCTAGGCAGTTGTGCCTGCAATTCTTCAATATGATCTTTGTTGGGTCTTGCAACCAACATGTCATCCACATACAACATTAATATAACAAAATTGTTATCACCAGACCTCTTGAAATAAGCACAAGGGTCTGCATTAAGTATGTTGTATCCAAGGCACATAATGAAGGAATCAAATCTCTTATACCAACACCTCGACGCATGCTTTAGACCGTACAGAGATTTGTTCAACCTGCAAACCAAGTTCTTCTTTTCTTTTTCTTCAAAACCTTCAGGCTGGAGCATGTAAATATATTCTTCAAGATTTCCATGAAGAAAAGTTGTTTTAACATCTAGATGCTCTAGATGTAAGTTCAATGTAGCACACATTGCCAAGACTACTCGAACTGTTATTAGTCGAACCACAGGAGAAAAGATTTCATTAAAATCAATACCTTCTTTTTGAGCATATCCTTTGACCACCAGCCTTGCATGATACCTCTCCACTTGATCGTCACCATTTTGCTTGATTTTGAAGACCCATTTGTTACCAATTGGATTC